GGGCTGGATCTATTATTTCTAGAATGTATTGATCTCGTGTTGCGGTCACATTCTGAGGGCTGTTTCTCTGACAAATGGGTTTTAGTCCTCCTACCTCTAGTTGACAGGAACAAAAAGGGTTAAATTGTACCCCCTCCCCATCCTATATAAGCCCCTCCTCCTCCTCCCGAGTTCCCCAGTCCTGACACCTGACGATTATCGGCCGACTTTCGTTGTGCGAGGGTTGTAAGGTCATTAACATTTCGTACGACCCGCCCATCATGGACAGGCGCATCGTAGTTGTGATCATCGCGAGTCCTCCCCGCTGAGGGCTTCCGATGATCGCAGTGCTGAGCGGGCAGCGTGCGTCCGCGCACCTCTCCCCGTGCGGCATTCGTCTTCCGAGCGCGCCGCCAACCCGCCGAAAATCGTTCGGCTTATCGGCGGTTTTTCCAGCGTGCTGGGAAGACGAAAACCGCGCGACCGGACAGTAGAAGCGATCATACACCTGCCTATTATCGCACGATCGCGGGATCACCCACAAGTATCGTACGATAATCGGCAGGTGTACGCCCCCCTAACGCACTCCTGCCAAATTGGCCATCAACCGCTTCGTGACGGGAGACCTACGCTGTGCGTCCCGCCACAAAGTGCCCAAATGACTCGTCGCGCACACTGTAGGTGATGCAGGGCCGGCCTTAGGCCTTTAGGCGCCCTGTGCGAGAATGCTCTACAGAGCCCCTCAGTGACCGCACCCCTCAGTGACCGCACCCCTCAGTGGCCACACCCCTCAGTAACCACACCCATTTCTCCAATATCCGCACCATTTAACCCCTTCGTGACGGGAGACGTACAGTGTGCGGCCCGCCACAAAGTGCCTATATGACCGGCCACGTTACACTGTACGTGACCGGTTATTGGCGGCTCTTTAATGCCGGTAACCGCGGATTCTCAGCGATTTATAGTCATTATTGGATGGGTCAGTATTGAGGCGTTCATGAATGAAATAGTTAAGCTTTTGTAAAAGGGAACTCGGGAGGAGGAGGAGGGGCTTATATAGGATAGGGTAAGACAATTTAACCCATTTTGTTCCGGTCAACTAGGGGTAGGAGGACTAAACAGGGGCGTCCCGAGTCCGGGTGACACCCGGAGCGGTAACCGAGTGCCACCCCGCCGAGACGTCACTGCGCACGCGCAGTATTCTGATACCTGCCGGCGGCCATCTTGGTGATGGACGCCGGCAGAGAGAGGAGGGGACAGTCACCCGGCGGCATACCTTATCCCCTCCTCTCTCCTGATACTGGTCCATGACCGAGCGCCCGACTTTTCAGAGGGGGGGGTGACACCAAAATGACTGCGAGTCAATTTGGTGTCACCCCTCCAATGGTGACACCCGGGTGCGGGCCCGCACCCCCCTTGTGAGGCCACGGGGACTACAACCCATCTGTCAGCGTTGCCATAGATATGAACAGGAAAAGAATGATCTCGGTGTGGAATCTTTTAGGCTCACGCGCCTTTCTTCTTCATTACATGAGTGATAGACAAAAATTAGTTTCGTTTTGATTCGTATTTTGCGTTATTTTGTTTTTCGTGATTCGGAACGAAATTCGTTAGCGGTATTCTGTATGAATTGGCGCCGCGTTTTGGTTTGTCCAAAAGTAAGGAATTTCAGATGCGTTTGCATTCGTTATATGTGGAATTCGGAATTCGGGGACATCTGCGAATCTCCACAATTTCGGCTGAATTTCGATTCAGAATGAACAAACGACTAGCACATGTCTAAGCGAGTGACAACATTCCCGGGAAGGACAATGTCACCCGGATCCAGTGCGAGCCGAGAGGAGTCTGAAGTTGGGGATCAGAGATGGCGGCTCCCCCTCCCCCCGGCTGGGGGATGAATAGGGATGAGGGGAGTCCGCTGAGCCGCTCAGACAAAACTTTCTGGAAATAAATTCTCTTTCCCCGTGTTTGGAGGATGTATTTCGGATAGTTCCGGTTCTTTCATGGAGGACCCGATCACACGATTCATTGTACTCATATGTCACGGTGTGTTAAACTAAAAGGTAAACTAATTCACAAGACCCTCCTCATACCCCTCCCCCCTCCTCATACCCCTCCTCCCTCCTCATACTCCTCCCCCCCTCCTCATACCCCTCCTCCCCTCTCCTCATACCCCTCCTCAAAAAAAAAATGTTGCCCAGGGTCCAATCAAGGCAGCCCTGGTGTGATGGTGTCACTGAGGAAATACAATGTAGCCATCTGACGTTTCATTCACAAGGAGAGCAAAGGTTACATGTAGGGATGACGTGTGAGTTCTCCTTTAACACGGCTCCAGGTGAGTTCTGTGTGTTCAAGATTCACGGCCCTGGTTTATTTATCTGCAGATTCACCTGGGAGAATATTTATATATATATAACCATCGCGTTCTCCAACCATTCACCCCCACACAGCTCCCTCCTCCTGTATCACTGGCCCCTCCCCTCTTAGATTGTAAGCCCGCAGGGGCGGGGCCTCCTTACCATCTTGTCTTGTGATTGTAATGTCTTCCTTATATTGTACAGCGCCGCGCACACTGTTGGCGCTATATACATCCTGTATAATAATAATAATATGTAATAATAAATATAAATATACTTTTGTTTCAGGGTTGGAATTTGGGGGGTTTTCCTGTATTTTGGGGTACAGCGGTCTTTATTTCTATGTTGATCGCGCCATCTCTAAGTTTGGGGGGCTCAAAAAAATCACAGGAGTTGCTCGCTCACAGCACAAAAATAAAACTAAGGCCCCGTTCACAGCAGCGGATCAGCGCGATTTGCGCGCAGGTTTTAAAAGGGCGGCTTTGGGCGTTTTTCATTGCGTTTCGGCACTGTAACACGATTATAAAAACGCCCAAAACCGCGCTGATCAGCACGGTTCCATTGAAAGCAGTATGGAAACCGCAGTGATCAGCGCGGCAAAAAAGGTCACGGAGCATTTCGGGCCGGAGACGGTTCGGATCACGCGGTCGCATGAACGGTCCCAATGGCAATGTATGCCCTGGTGTGATCGCGGGTCTTACAGACATTGGTGAGAGAACGGGTCACTCTCAGGAGCTCGGTGACTACAAGCGTGGTGCCGTGATAGGTTGTCACCTGCGCAATAAGTCCATCCGTGACATTTCCCGGCTACTAAATATTCCGCGGTCGCCTGTTACTGGGATTATAACAAAGTGGAAGCAACTGGGAACAACAGCAACTGAGCCAGGAAGTGGTCGGCCACGTCACATGACAGAGCGGGGTCAGCGCATGCTGAAGCGCACAGTGCGCAGAAGTCGCCAACTGTCTGCAGAGTCAATAGCTACAGACCTCCAAACTCCATGCGGCCGTCAGATTGGCGCAACAACAGTGCGTAGAGAGCTTCATGGAACGGGTTTCCGTGGCCGAGCAGCTGCATCCAAGCCGCACATCACCAAGTGCGATGCAAAGCGTGGGATGCCGCGGTGTAACGCACGCCGCCACTGTACTCTAGAGAAGAGGAGGCGTGGTCTCTGGAGTGACCAATCACGCTTCTCTGTCTGGCAATCTGATGGGCGTGTCTGGGTTTGGCGGTTGCCAGGAGAACGGCACTTGCCTGACTGCATTGTGCCAAGTGTAAAGTTTGGGGGAGGGGGGATTATGG